CCCCCCCCCCCCCCCCCCCGAATGACCCCACACTTTATAAAACCGATTGCACTCAGCTGATATATAGCTGCAGTACTCGCCACGATTTCAATAGCATCGCCGACAGGCAGGGGGCACTGATGTTAACGGTAGTTTTTGGCACTTGTTTTTCCATGTAACTATGACATTTTTGCTCTGTATTTACTCATTTCCTACGTTTCTTCTATTTTTTTTTTAAATCCCTGATTTCAAATTTTTTTTGTGCATTGATGTCTTTTTACTGTTACAGTGGGTGGGTCTGAATATCTAGTGGATTCAAAGATTTATTTTTTATTTTCTCTGGGGGTTCTTATCATTTTTCAATAACTTTTGTAACCATGAGAAAGCATTGAAAATGTAAAGCAGACTACTTATGTTTTTTTTTGTCAATGTTAGTGCTGAATACAGATCTAAATATTATTAAAAACCTAAGTGAGACCTCTGTGTTGTTTAGTTTTACATCCTAATCTCTCAAACATTTTGAAACTCTATTTGGAAATTGGTGTCTTTAGTTATTCTTGTAACTATTCATTAAGGAACCTGAAACTTGCATCTGGTTCTGAACAGGAAGGTCATGTAAAGTCATTTTGCTGCAGTGTGTGATATTGTTGCATACCAAGTTTTCTTGCGCAAGATTAATTTATCTTTCTGACATTAAAGGACTACGTTTTTATGTACGTGTTTGTGAGAGCACTGCAGACAAAACAGCTATAAAATTAATTCAAAAGGCAGTGCTTTATAAATGGGTAGCCACAGCTGAAAGTTTGCTCTGTAGTTCTGCTGTTATTCACGCATAAAGCACAGCCTCTTGTGACATTTAATTGGACATTAATGGGAGCCCTGACAAATTTGTCGCTCCCATAAATGGTTCGCCTCATTCTAAATGAAGTGGCGCTGTCATTTTTTTGGTTCTGCGGGCGATAGCTTCTCTGTAGCTTCACAACATTTAATGGTTGAACAGGCCTGGAACAGCAATTTCACATACGTGTTACTTTATTGGGAATGTGAGTAAGCCTGACTTATAGTTATACATATATATATGCACACATTTATGTGTGTGTATCTATGTATACAGGAGGTGAACAAAACTAATAAAAAGGAACCTTAACTTTGAAATAACTAAATCGCAAAGGTGAGTCTATTAGGTTGAATGATAATAATTTCCATGTGTATAGAACCTAACAATTTGCACTTTGGTTTGAATTTCCAGAACAACATGAGCCAGCTGGACAGTCCCTGAATTACAGGTCACAAAAAAGTGACTTGTTTATTTATGTGTCAAGGGGAAGAGTGAAGAACCTCGGAACAGCATATTCGCACATGGACAAATTGTGCCAGCAGATGTGATGTGGTATGGCGAGCTGCTTCTGGAGACTCATTAGGTCCAGCAGTTGCTCTGCAGGAGGCCGTTTTATAGGACCTAAGGTGCAAACACTCATGGTGCTCCTGTAATCTGTGGCGGTAATATTCCCAAGCACACTTCTAAACAAATCCGCGCTTTTATGAACAGCGGGATGAAGTCACATGTCTCCTGTCATCAGATCTAAACACTGTTGAACGTTTATGGTATGTTTTGCTGTACAGTTTAGAACTTGAATGAGACTGAGGGACCAGATCCTAATTAAGGTTTTCCAAAGGTAGAAAATCCAGGTCCAGAAAGTACAAATCCAGACCAAGATTTTGTTTCAACCAACCAACTGAGTTCTCTGTGACTGAGACTCTATATGCTAAACTGGTTGGTTGAAACAAAACCTTGGTCTGGACTTTTACTTTCTGCACTTGAAATGTCCACCTCTGAGGCTTTCATATTTATATATTGTTAGGTGTTTGTTTTTTGTCCATCCATTTATACAGCATAAACAACTGTTTTACTCATTCTTTTCTCTCTGACTGTTCTATTACGTTTGTTGCAGATGCTGGTATTCTAGAAAACACGTCTTGCTTGCATAGCAAGTCAAAGGCTCATAGTTACGTGCGCGGGTCATTTTCCTGTGTGCCTGGAGTTTATTGGTCCACGCTGGTGTAAGCAGAATGACCTCAGGCAGGGCGGCTTCTGTGCTGCACCTCTTCAGCTCGCACTTGCCTGGCCAGCTGGATGAAATACACACTGCAGTGTCCTTGTAGTCCTATAACTTTTTGCAAACAATACTGCATTTTTAATGAACTTTGCTGCAGTATCTACCAACTCCTGGACAGCCCAGCAGAGGCCTGGCTTACAGTTGATGTATCCTATTTGTGAACTTGGGCACCTCTGATGTTTCAGTGTCTTTAATGCCGTGACATGAATCGCACGTCGGCTTCTTTAAATCTTCACCCCTCTCCAGGAGAAGAAGCAGAACACAGCTGTTGTGAAGCTGTACGTATGCCAATCAAGGAGATCTTCACCTCGAGCTATTTCCTGCTCAGGGACGCAATCCGGCTTGGGACATGGCACCATCTTCAATCCGCCCTGTGCCCTGTTCCCCGGAGACGCGCGGTTCCAATCCTGCTCTGTATGTCACAGTTGAGTTGCTTCAAGCCTACGTGCTTAATATTTTTAATACAGCCCCCACCCCTAGGTCCTCCCCAATGCAGACGAAAGCAGTCGGGTGTAGTAGCCAGCTGCCATGCGTCGTTTGTTTGGTGGCGCTCAAGTGACAGCGAGAGACTTCCTTCTCGATATGGCTGCATCAAATGGCTCCACTGCATGTGGGCCCAGATACAATTAGAGCTCAAGCTCTGGAAAATGTGTGCACAAGCTGCTTTCTCCAGTGCCATTTTGCCCTCTATTCCTTACTCGTATTTGCCCGCCGAGATTTGATTGGCGGCAGTCATTTGTGAAATTACTGGACGAGACGCAGAGCCGTGTGATGCGTTGAGGGCTCTGCTGTAGGGCATGAGCCCTCCAACGCCGTAACGAGGAAGGACAGAAGTTGAGCTGCTAATTGCATCTGGCAACCAGTTATAAGGAGACAGTTGTGGCGAGCATAGTCATGATAGCTGTGCGTTTGAAAAGCTTAGCTCCTCTACTCTAGTCAGTCTCAGCTAAGCCTAATAAGATTCATTTGTGAAGACTGGTGTCCTTCCTGCATCAATGTTTCCTCTTTTGGTCACTCAAGTGGCTGTTCTCTTTTGAATGCATTCGTATGCTCTCCCCTCCCTCTGCTTTACATTCATGATGTGTGGCTCCCTACTAATTCAGCATCTTTAAATCTACTTTCAGATGCGATTAGCCTTTTAGCCTCTTACAGAAATTCACTCCATGGGTGTTTTCTGTAAACTTCCCCCTTGCTTCGCACGATCATTGCGGCACTTGTAAACGAATTCTTTGCTTGTTGGGGGAAACGCATATTAAGGGCCTTAGAAGCTTTCAGTAAATGCTGCAAACTGCCGTTAAGCCCCTTGTGTTACCATAGCAGGGTTATCTATATGACTTGGCCCTCATTTAATTGCATTTTCAAGAGGATGCATCCAATGAACTAATAAAAGCAGATACCGTTTCTGTGTGCTTCTCAGTTACGTTCTGCATTTACCTGCTAAGCTGATGGGCTTAGCGGCTCTTTATTTTTGCTGCAGGGTATCAGGTTAATTACCTTCCTGGCTTCTGCCGCAGAAACCTTACTCCCTGCGAAACTGTCTGCAGCCAGATATCCTCGCCGTTACTCCTTCAGCAAAATTCGGCGTGTAAATTTGGATTGTTATTCAATTAACTGGAAAAGTGATCATTTTTGAGAATTGTTCACAATAAATAAGGCTGACAGTAATGTACTGACGTGCAGTCGCTGGGATAAGAACGTCCGATTTCCGGTCAGCTCGTACTTATGAACGGACTGCGTAAAGCCCATTATATTCAAAATCCAGGTTAAATACAATGGTTCGTAATAATGAACGCACGCACTACTCTGTGACACTCCTAAAAACAATACGGTGCTTCAGCAGTTCGTACAGTACTGCATGTCGTTATTTTTATTTACTGGATTATTACTATTATGCACAGAATTATTACTGTTCTGACTTTACCTACAAATATGACTTAAAGGCAGGTTTAGGGACCAGATCTTGTTAGTCACCTGGGGACTGTCTGTACTGATCATTTAAAAAATGTATTAGTTTAGACTATGAAGAACGCAGAAATATCTTACTACATTTCACAATTTTGTACCTTTAAGTCGCCGGAATCTGACAGTCTAGATGAAGCTGTGTGTGGTGAACAGCCAAGTCAAGAACATCAGCCAAATTAACATCCCTCTTGCAGTGAAATGAAGCCAGTTTGCTCCTGCCCTGGGGCACCCTGGTCACGGCTGGTCAGAGAGCCGCCTGCATATAGAGGCGGGATTCCAACTCCTTTAAATGTTCAATCCATGTCTTACTACAGCTGCTTCGAGAGCCTTTGCACTTAAGCATTTCACTCACAAGTATAGTACCTGTGTACTGGTGACAAGTGATGTGACATTAAACAGTGATTTGATTTGAATTTGTTCAGGTTATATGTTTAATATCCCTTAATCCATAACGTTCATTTTTTGAACTCTTACCTTGATCCTTGTCTAAAATCCTTGTCTAAGATCCTTGTCATGCCAATCTGCTTATTTATTGTTTTGTACACATTTATTGAGAAGACGCTTTCATTCAAAAAAAGTCCAACCGAGAAAGCAGCCTGTCTGGAGCAATTGAGGCTCGGGGCCCTTGCTGAGGGGCCCTTGCTGAGGGGCCCTATGATGACATCACTCTGCTGACCGCGGGACTCGAGGATGCCGTCGCACACTTCTGTACATATGAACAGTCTGCCATCGTTCCCTCTAAGTGGACCCTAGCTGAGTTGCTTTAATCAAAGCTTACTCAGTCAGCTAAATAACAATTTGCTGAAGTTACATACAATCCGTTACCGAATTGATTTAAAAATGTCGTTCCAGGAGATTTAGCTTAAGTTAATACATTTCTTCTTTTTCTAAACATCACAC